TAGTGGGTGACACAATTCCTTATAAACTTGGCTAAGGTAGGCTCTGAATAGTTTTGATAACATCTTAGTAAGTGGGCTTATGTCTAATTCAACCTCACAAAACTAACTTGTAAGATGAGGTTTGGACTCACTTATATACTATAATATGACCTTTATCTCTATCTGATATGAACTTTTTAACCTTTATATATAAAAAGATTTTTCATATTTGTTTATTTATATTTCAGGGAGCAAAGTTGGCAGGTCAACTAAGCTTCTGAAGCCAGAAGAGGTAATTGAGCAGGTAGAGATAAGAACAATTGCTGCATCGCCATTTCAATATGATGTTAAGCTTGAAGATGTGGAGGCATTCTTTGGTCAATATGCCAAGGTATTGTATAGATTGAAGCTATCTTTTGTATTATAACTTTTTGGCTTGGGGGAATTGTAGTTCCTCTCCTAATTGTTATTGATTTTGATGTATGGTATGTGGCAACTGGAGTGAAAACTGTATAAAAGTTTATTAAGTATCTTGATGTGAAACTAGCGCAGAATTGATTTGCTTCTTATAAATAAATTGTCTTCACTTTTAAAGATAAAATTCTGGAGTTTTATTGCACTTGTTGATCTTACATTCTTCAGATTATAGGTAACTTCAATGATTAAAAAGTGTGTACGATGGTCCTGGTGGTAGAGAGTACCTTTTGATAATTTATATTACGTAACAAAAGGGATAAATTCTAGTTTTCTCTTCCAGGTTAACAGCGTGCGGTTGCCTCGCCATGTTGGAGACAAAAGGATTTTTTGTGGCACTGCTCTTGTTGAGTTTTCATCAGATGAAGAAATGAAATTATTTTTGAGGCAAAGTCTTGTCTATGCGGGGGCTGAGCTAGAGTTAAAGCCAAAGTAAGAATGCTCATATTGATTCAGTACTTGGTCATTTTTTGATCAATTATAATGAAAAAGTATTTTATATTTTTTTTTCTTCTGTAAATTAGAATAATTTCTTATGTAAGTGGAAGAAAGGTAGGATAGTCCAATATTTTATGTCAAATTCCTTTGAAAAAGTAGATTGCTAACGGGTTTGCAATTATTGATATTTGTAATAGGTCAAAAGACAAGAAAAAAATGTGTATTGATTGTAGCTGCTTTACAGCCAGTTTACTTTCGTATCATTACATTGAAAATTTGAACGTAATGCATTTCGGTTGCAACGTTGGGTTTTGTTCTACAATTAGAATTTTAGAACGTGAAGACAGTGTACATAAGCATATTATCTAATGTTGTTTATGTTTATTGTATCCAATTCAGGAAGGACTTTGACGTGCAGAGAGAGGAAGAATTAAAAGAGCAAGAAAAATTCCGTCCACATGGGGGTATAGATCACCAAAATAACATTCATACAGAAGCAGAGTAAGATACTGACAATTCTTTTTATCCCTGCTCCTACAAGAAAACAGATAAATTTAGTAGCTAATTATCTATTTTTTTGCAGCTACCCTAAAGGCTTACTTATAGCCTTCAAGCTAAAAACTATTTCTGATGAAGTTCCTTCAGAACAAAATAACCCTGAACAACAAACCAATGATGCTGATGATATCTCCAAAACCGATCAACAAAATCCATCTGAAATTGCTGCTGAGGAAAGTGGTAAAAAGATATCAGAAAATGATGAGAATGATAAAGAAAACAGTGAGGTGAGTGAAGGAAAAGGGACTGAGGGTGAGGAAAAGAGTAAAGAAACTGATTGAAAAAATTCTGCTACTCTGGACAAGGACAACAAGTTTGTTGTCTCACGAGAGGATTTGAAAGTTGTCTTTGAGAAGTTTGGTACCGTGAAGGTAATTGGGTTTTCCTCTTTTCTTTGGCTATTCGGGCTTGGTGTCTATTGTTTTATTTTTGTCCATTTTACATCTATGTACTTATTATATTTGCCACTTTCTTCTTTTTGGAGTTTCATGCACTTCTAAAATGATACCTTTTGCTTAGTTTTTTGAATACCCAGGTTGTGGGTTCAACTAATCTGTCTCACTTTCATTCTTTAAACCCTAAAAAATTGGTTATTAATTTATTATATAACTATTTGACTGAACCGATCAAGACTTGTATAAACTATATACTGTTTGGCTGTTCAGTACATTGATTTCAAGGTTGGAGAAGAGTCCGGATATATCCGATTTGAAGAACCTGAAGGTGCTCAGAAAGCTCGTGCAGCAGCAGTTCTTTCTGAAAAGAACGGCTTAGTTGTCAAGAATTGTATTGCTACTCTGGATCCCGTGACTGGTTTGTTTCACTTTTGATATAATTTTTCATGAGTTATTAATATGCATTTGTTTGGTAAAAGGCCCACTTTATATCTTGATCAACAAAATTTCTTATCTACCTAATTAGTTTTTCCTTCATCATCACTAATAAGTTACTCATCACATGTGCTGATGCAATTAAAGGACATTGTTGGATAAATTGACTGATACTGACGCAATCTTCTTTGTGTGGTTAATCTGAGAGCTGTTGTTCTGGTATGGTTTCAGGTGAGGTGGAGAGAGAATACTGGAGCCTGCTTCGTGGTAATCAGGAAAAACTCAGAGGATGTATGAATAACCGAGGAAGGTAAAATGAGTAACTCAACCATGTCTTGAATAAGCCATTATTGGTTCCTCTTTTATTTTTGGTTGGTAAAAATTTGGCCTATTTCTTATGGTTTTAAAAAAGGTATTCATTATGTGTGTGCCTTTTTGTGCCAAACAAATGGCTATCTGTCATTTTTTTCATGTAAGAATAATGAACATAACACTCTTAGTCACGCGAAAACCATTGTATGTTGAGACCAAATATTAAGAAATGTTGGTAAACATTCGGAAATGACACGTTCTCTTCCATTCGATTGCAGGGGAAGAAAGCATGGGAGAGGGGGTAAATTCAACCGGTCTCGAGAGAATGAATCTGCATTAAATCGGCCAAATAAAGTTAGAAAGTTTTAACTGTATACAGATTAATGGTTATAGATGAGTTTAGATATGAGGTTTTTATGTTGCTGAGACGTATTTGACTTCTAAAGTTATTATTTTATTTTTGTAACCTCTCAGCAACCTAAAATCAGATCTGTGAATTATCCTTAATGGATTAGATGACTTCGGGTTAGTTTGTAACACTTTTTTTTTTTTTCAGTTTTTGGTATTATAATTTAATGAATGCACACCCTTTTCTCTTTAATAAACATTTTTGTGGAAAATATTTTGACCTGCACTTCCGTACTATTATTATTTCTTTGTATTTTTTTTCTGCATAAATCTCCTCTATAGGGTTTGGTATTTTTAGTTTAGAAGTTTATTTAAATATTAAGTTAGTTTTTATTTTAGTTGAGTTTATTCAATTTAATTATAATATTTTTTTGATTTGATTTTAATTTTTGTCAATTTTGTTAAATTTATTTTTTTGCTAATTTTTACTTTAATTTTAAACAAATGGTAATTCTAAAAAAATATTTAATAAAAGTATAAGTTTTAATAAAAATATTACTATAACATTTATATAGAAGTTAAATTTAGTCTGGATTTAAAAAATGATAAAATTATTCTATATTAAAAAAAGTATCGTATATATGAACAAAATTAAATTTAAAACATTAATTAAAAATATTTAAAAAAATCAAAAAATGATTTGTGGCATACGTTGACTATCATTTATTATTTAGACACGTTAACAAAATAATTAAATTGAACAAAATTAATTGGATAACATTAATTAAAATAACTAAATTGAATAAAATTAATGAATATTTAAATCAAATTAAAAAAAATTAAGATTAAATTAAATAAATTTAATGATGAAATTAATATTTAAGCCAAAGTTTATTTATACTCAGTATACAATCAAATTTATTGAGAGTGAAAAAACTGTCATATATGCTTTTTATCATTTATTTCGTTAACGTGATTCGTTATTAGAATAGTCTTTAAGTTTTCTTAATGAAGTATTTATGTCGATTTATTTTAATATTTTATTTTTTCATAATAATTAGCAATCTTGTCATTTTCACGTTTTCAATAGAATAGAGGATTTATTTTATCATTTTATATAAATCTGAAAATAAAGTAAAACTTGTCTAATTTTTAAATTAGAAAATTGTATTTATTGTCTTGTCGAAATTCAAACAAAACATCACTGCGTTTATGTTGTCAATGTTCTTCGTAACCCTTGGACTACTTCTTAACAAATGTATCAATTCTTGTAACAAGAAACAATTTCATAAGGTAAAGAAGAGTTCAAATCATTAATGAAGTAAACATTCTTGCACGAGAATACAAGTAGTTTATCTCCTCTTAATAAAGCATTGTCAATTTATCATTTTCTTTGCAAATGTACTTATTTTCATATTATTACTTTTTTTTTCTTTCTTATTTATACTCAATTTTCTCTCTCCTTTTTTAAGGCTCAATTGCATCTCTCTCAATTTACAACTTCTCATCATTAGAATTAGATAAAACTATCCTTCACATGATATAGTGATCTTTATGCAAGGGATTTCTTCCTACGCTTCATGTTTTCTTCCTCCAACGCATAGTCATAATGAAATGACTTAATTGTCCCTTATTAAAAAAATTGCACTTTCATTATGTCCTTCAAATTTGTATTACGGTCCAAAACGTAATTTATATGCATTAAAGTTTTCATGACAACTTTTAACACTGTTGTATCAAAATAGGAATAACTTTTGTCTTTTTTTCTCTAATTGCCTTTCCTTTAATATGGATTGAAGAGGCAGCAACCAATTGGACCAACACGGCAACTCAAATTTTGTAACCTGTTTAAATTGAATGTATATTTTGTATCTTATTCAATTGTATAAAACAGAGTATATCCTTTTATTTATAAGGGTTGGAACTTCTCACAGTGTGCACCAGAAAAAGTACCGAAACATAAAAAATAGACAGTTGTTAAAATGAAATAGCTCTTACAATATTTTTGGCTTAACACCTGTATATTAATACATATTCTAATACACCTCCCTAAGCCAAAGACTAGATTGTTCCAGCAACCCCAATCAGCTTCCTGAGGCTTTTAAATCTCTCAAATTTGAGAGCTTTAGTTAGAATGTTAGCAAGTTGCATTTCTGATCTACAATAGCACAACTCTAGCTTTTCATCCTTCACCTGCTCACGGATGTAGTGGAACTTTGTTTCTATATGCTTGCTTCTTCCATGAGAAGCAGGGTGCTTTGCCAAATCTATTGCATATTTGTTATCAATACACAATTGTATCTTTTTCGTTAAATCTATCTTCAACCCTTTCATCACAGATTTCAGCCATATAGCCTGGCACGTTGCCTCACAAGCTGCAATATATTATGCTTTACAAGAGCTTAAAGCAACTACCGGTTCCTTGGTTGAACTCCATGATATAGGGGAGTCTTCAAGGAAGAACAAATACCCTCCTATGCTTTTCCTATCACTTTTATCTCCACATCAATCTGCATCAGAATAGGCCTTTATTCTCACTTCCACACCTCCTCTTCTTATTGGAAACAAAATGCCATAGTCGTGTGTCCTATATGTATCTTAGAATGCGTTTCACAACATTCAAGTGTGATATTCTGGGATTTGGCATGTACCTACTCACAAGACCTACACTAAAACTCACATCTGGCCTTGTTTTGCACAAGCATCTCAAACTTCCTACCATGCTACAATAGAGACTAGCATCTACAGCCTCCTCTTCTGGATCAATTTCCAGTCTTAAACCAACTTCCGCAGGTGTATTTGCAGCTTTGCAATTTTGCATTTCAGCCTTCTTCAACATCTCTTTAGCATAGCGTGATTGATGCATCACTATCCCCTTCTCGGTTTCCACAAATTTTATGCCAAAGTAATTTAGCTTGCCTAAATCACTCATTTCAAACTCATTCAGCATGTGCAGTTTGAAATTCTAAATCACCTTCTTATTGCTTCCAATAATTAGCATGTCATCTACATATAGACATATAATTAATCTTTCAACTTTCCCTTCTCTTTTATTGTTCTGCACATAGACATCGTGTTCTGAAACACACCTCTCAAAACCATTGTTGTCCATGAACTTATCAATCCTTCGATTCCAGGTTCTAGGGACCTGCTTTAACCCATCCAGGGCCTTCTTCAATTTGTAAATCATTCCCTGTTGTACCTCAATTTTGAATCCAGGGGGCTACATTACATATACCTCTTCTTCCAACCTTCCATTTAGAAAAGCTAACTTTACATCCAATTGATGTAATGTCCAACCAAACTGATTTGCTAAGGCCACTACAAGTCTCACCGTTTCCATCCTAGCCATAGGTGCATAGACCTCACCATAGTCTTTTACAGCCTTTTGCAAAAATCCCTTTGCAACCAGCCTTGCCTTATATCTAACAACTTCTCCTTGTGGATTCACTTTAGTTTTGTAAACCCATTTTAGACCAATCGGCCTTTTATCTGCAGGCAGCTTAGTCAACTCCTAAGTATGATTTTTTCTCTATGGAATCAATCTCTTCTTGCATAGCTTTCACCCATTTATCATCTGCAGCTGCTTGCTCAAAAGTCATGGATTCATCTTCAGCAACAAGAGCATAATGGACCAGGTTCCCTTTTGAAGTTACTGCAACCTAATTGAACAAATCATAGTCCTTCAAATGTGAAGGCAGTTGTGACGTTCTAGATGATCTTCTTTGATTCCTTTCTTGCTCAGAGGACTTCCCTTCCGCTGGATCACATTCATCTCTTGAAGTCTAATCCTCTAACTCAAAAGTTATACTCTTTCTCTTCATAGACTTCCAATCCCACACTCTTTCTTCATCATCAATCACATCTCTGCTTATGGTTGCTTATCTAGTTTATGGATTGTATAGCTTATATCCACCAGTGGTATGATAGCCAACCAAAATCCATGGCACTCCATTATCATCTAATTTTCTCCTCAACTGGTTTGGCACGTGCTTGAAGTAGACAGAGCCAAATACTCTCAACTGCTCCACATTTGGCTTGATTTTACTCCAGGCTTCCTTTGGGTAATATTCTTAAATCTTTTAGCGGTGTTCTGCTCAAAATATATGTTGTAGTCAACACTACTTCCCCCATAAGAACTATGGTAGCTCCTTGCTCTTTAGCATGCACCTTACCATATTCATTATGGTGCGATTCTTCCTTTCTGCTGTGCCATTGTGCTCTGGTGTGTAAGGTGGAGTCAACTCATGCATTATCCCTTCCTTCTCACAATAGGTCTTGAATTCTGCTGAGATGTACTCACCACCTCCATCCGTTCTTAGGACTTTCAGCTTCTTGTCACTCTTCCTTTCAACCAAGGTTTTGAACCTTTTAAACACCTCCAGGACTTCACTCTTTCTTTTGATCAGATATGCCCATGCTTTTCTAGTCCAATCATCAATGAAAAGCACAAAGTATCTGCTACCTCCTGGAGTTTAAGTTTGTATGGGTCCACATACATCTGAGTATACAATCTCCAATTTTTCTGAGGTCCTTTGAGGCACAAAACTCTGAAATTGCCCTCTAGTTTGCTTGCACTGGACACATTCATGACATATAGATTCTGGAATGTTAACCAAAGGCAAATCACTCGCCATAGAGTGTTGACTCAGCTAACACAAATCCATAAATTTAGGTACCCAAAACATAGATGTCATAGCCACTCTGTTGACTTTCTTGCTGCATTAAAACATTGATGCTGCACAGCCTTCATTATCACACGAAAGGTTCTGTTTTGAGACAAACTCGCCTTGATAACCATTCTTTTGCTTTGGTCAAAAATACTAAGATGGTTATTCTCCATCTTCATTGCAAAACCTTTTTGTAATAGTTGTCCCAAACTTAGTAGATTTGTCTTGAGTCATGGCACAAACAAGACTTCATGTATTACTACTTCTCTCCTATTTTCATCTCGTAGCACAATCCGACCAGGCCCCTCTGCATTCAAGCTTCTATCATCTACAAATTTGATTTTGCCATTCAGAACCTCCTTCATCTTGACAAACCAATCTCTTCTTCCAGTGATGTGAGTCGAACACCCTGAATCAAGGTACTATGACGCCTCCTCCGGTTCATCTTCACTTGTTCTTTCCATCAACAGCACTGCTTCTGAGTCAGATGTGTTGTCTTGTGAAAGATTAGCTTGGTTCTTGGGTTTATTCGTTGCACCTTCACCCTTCCAGCATTCCTTTGCAAAATGTCCATGTTTTTAACAATTAAAAAATTTTACCTTCTTTTTGTCAAACTTCCAGCTCTTTTCTTGATCACCATCAAATTATGAATTGTGACTCTTTCGGTTCTTAGAGTCATTGAAGTCTTTATCTTGTTGTTTTTTACCCTCCTTGTGCTTCTTTTTGCCAAACTTCTTAGACCATTTTCCCTTTCCATGAAATTGGGATCTGACTTGCAAGACTTGATCTTGATATTGCCTTCGCTCATTTAATCTGTGCTCATGAGCCTCCAATGAATGTTGCAGCTCTTCTACTTCCATAGTCTCTAAGTCACACATTTCTTCTATTGCAACTACAATATGATCGAACCTTGATGGCAAAGTCTTTAGGATCTTATCAACAATGTATTGATCCGTGATTGTATCCCTGCACACACGCATTGCACTCACATGTTCTTGCACTTTATCAAAATAATCAGCCACTGTATCGTTCTCCTCCGTAGTTAGACATTCAAACTGCCTCCTTAATGTTTGCAGCTTTACTTTCTAAGTTTTGTCCCCATCTCCATACGTTTTTTTTCAGCAAAATTTGTTATATCTCCTTTGTTGTTTGTGCCTTTGAAATCCTATGAAATACTCTCAACCCAACACATTGATAGAGAATAAACCAAGCCTTACTATCAAGCTTTTGCTGATTTTTGAAGTTTCTTTTTTCTTCATTAGAGGCCTTGGTGCTTAATTCAGGAAACCCTTCAAACATCACATCCGCAACATCTTGGAAGCCAAAAATGGCATTCATCTTGATATGTCATTCATCAAAACATTTCCATCAAAGATTGGATAAGACCCTTGCATCATTCCTCCTAGTCCGGCCATAACTTCACTATAATCTCCTTTTTGCACTCATATCCTTCTAGATGTTCTTCTTCCACACTTCTTGAAGACTCAAGATATCTCCCTTCTTGATGGCCTTAAGATTCACACTCTGAAGAACTCTCACACTATTCTGGATACACTTCTCGAGACCTGAAGAACAAACTAGGAAACTAGTTTTTCTCACACTCACTGGTTTCTAACCTATGCTCTTGATACCATAAAGGATTGGGCATAAGAGAGGAGAAAGGTAACGTGTTTAAACTGAATGTATATTTTGTATCTTATTCAATTGTATAAAGCAAAGTATATTCTTTTATTTATAAGGGTTGGAACTTCTAACAGTGTGCACTAGAAAAAGCACCGAAACATAAAAAATAGACAACTATTAAAATGAAACAACTCTTAGAATATTTTTGGCTTAACACTTGTAACTTAAAACATATTATAATAACTTATATACTATAAATTGGCCTTATCTCTAATTGATGTGAAACTTTCAATATTTTAGATAACTTTTGCTTTAGTAAAAGCACTTATGTATAATTTAAATCCCTCTAAAATTAATTCTAATTAGAACAAATTTCAATCAAAATTCAGATTTCAATCGCAGACTAAGCTCTTGCTTATTCTTACAACCATGGTGTTTACCTGTAGTTGCAGTTTTAATGTGGAAGCCCTGGAATTGTTGAGGGTGTTTTTCTTTTGAAGGTCCTTTTAGTCAAAATAGCCAAAGATATGTTGCCACCAATCACCACATTGAAAATAGATTCTCATATTTGTTGTCTAAGTGTTTCATGCACCTATGAGTAGTAGTGCACTTGTTCAAGAAATACGATTATTAACCTAAATTTAAGCTAAAAAATTATATAATTGGAAATGTAATTTGTATTATAATTGTTTCTTTTAAGTTATATTAAGGATTATACAATCTAAAACGAATTTTATATTTTAAATTAGGGTTAAATATTTTTTTAGTCCCTCAACTATAAAGCGATTTTAGTTTTAGTCTCTCTTTCAAACTTTGGTACACTTTTATCTTTGTCATTAAGGAAACTATAATTTTTCGTCCTTCAAAACCAACGGTGTTAAATTTAATCTGATGTGGCTAACGGTGTACCACATCACTTTTCCTTGTTTCTTAAACATGGCAATCTGCATCTTCAAGCCGGTGATACTTCTCTCTCTTATTCATCTTCATCATCCTCTTCAATGCCATCAATGCCGTCAACAATGTCGTCAACAATGCCGGCAACGATGCCACCACCTTTCTACGAATCGTGATTCCATAAAAGAGAAAGGAAAGGAGGCTATCTCATATCAGTGTGACCTTGTGCCATGGCGGAAGAGGAAAAAACTCTTCCTGCGTTGCGTGACGAAGAAGCCCTACCCAGATCGCACCTCCACGGCGTCTCCGCCTTCTCCGAACAACCAGAATCACTAGCTCTTCACTTAGCATCACCCTGCGAGTCAAGGTTCTAGATGTTCGTCACCACCAAAACCACAATTGCAAAGAAACACTCTTTTTCCCAAGGTTGGGTGGTCTGCGAGCAAGGAGCAACAATGAAATTAGGGAGAAGAAAGATTGGCTAGGGTTTTTCCTCGAGTTATATGACTAAGAATAAAAATCAGTTGTTGGAGGTGAACGCCTGGTAAAGTAACTGAATGACAATAAAACAATATTTGTTTTAGATTGAATTCACATTGAATCTCTTGAACCTTCATTGCTGATAAAATAATTGAATGACAATAAAACAATGAAAATGAAAATGTCAAGAGCAGCAATCGTATCCATTGTCATTCTCCTAATTACTGGATGTGAAGCTCAGGGTTCCATGAAATGCCCCACAATTATTGAGGATGTTACA